GAACCCGACCACAAGCACCCAGCCTGGGAGACAAATGAAAAGAACTGGGAAACAAATGAAGTGGGAGACAAATGAAAAGAAGTGGGAGACAAGCCAGCCGCGAACCCGACCACAAGCACCGAGCTTGGGAGACAAATGAAAAGAAGTGGGAGACAAATAAAAGGAAGTGGGAGACAAGCCGGCCGGGAACCCGACCAGACCATCCAGCACCAAGGCGACCATTCTTTAAAGCATTGAGAACCCCTAACAGTAAACTGTTTGGGGAACAAGAACGCTACTAGGAGCAAAGGGCATCACGTCACGTTTCCGGCCAACGCTTTGCCGCAAGGTTTGCCGGTTCGCTTGCAAGACTCCTGCCTCGAAGTCACCCGACCTCTGGAAGGGCACGAACTAAAACTGTTTAGGTCTTTGCCTGTCAACTACTTCCTTACAAAACTACTTCCTACCGTCAACAAGAACTCATGTGTAAAGACCTGATCCTTTTTTCATGTCTTCTCTCTGACCTTTCTTTCTTTCCTCCTGTCTGAATCTTTTCTTTCCTTCTACAGACCTTCAGACCTTTCTTTGTTCTTTCAAAGAGCTTCTGTCTTGGCTTTAACTTCTTACTGATCCAAGCTGCTGTGCGCTCATCAGCGCAGTGTAGGTGGTGAGGCGATTGCGGTTAGGGTGGGCCGCGAGCACAGAGAACATGCCTCCGGCGGAAGTGGTCAGGGGCCGCTGTCTCTTTGCCATTTGCCATTGACTCAACAAGATTCGTTGATCCTTTGAGGCCACTATGAAATACTAGGTGAAATGAACAGAAACACTGGCAAATCTTCAAGCAACTAACTCTATTCAAAAAAACGGAGTAGCAACACAGGCCTTTGAAATCAATGTGGTCATTGAACCGTTCTCGCAGGCAATGCTCTGCAGGGCTGCGCCGGTTGTCATAAAAGGGATCTTGGTTGTAGTCCTGAGGCTCGATTGACAGAGACCAAAAGGTCATTGTTGGAAGAGTTGCTTGAAAAAGTCTTTACAATAAGAAGTCTTTACTTGTAGCTCGACGAAGAAGACAAAGAGCCTTCTCTTTTTTGTCTAAGTAGCCTTCAGAAGCAGACTCTTCTCCTTCTGCTTTCTTCTCTCTTCAAGACTCTCTCTCTCTCTCAAATTCCAACTCGACAAGGAAAAAGCAAAGGATGAATGTCAATTCTCTTTCTTAGCTTGAGTGTCCCAGTTGGTTTGCACCACAGAGTTGATTCCCTGGCGTGCAACGTCGCTGAGCAGGGTCTGGTTCCTGGGCATGGTACTCAAAATGGACCCCAAAATGTCAGAGCGACATCTTCGGAGGAAAGAAACTCTGAAACCCTTGAATTTGAGGTTGAAATGAAGCACAGCTATCACCACCAGAGTGAAAGGATGCATCATACTATATCTGGTCTTGGCTCAGAATGATAGATTCACTTTCATCCGTGCTTGATTCTGAATTCCTGCTGATTGCACCTTTTGCAGCTGAGCATCACCACTGAGGTTGCTCCCCGCTCTAGCACAGCACCTTCACCAGCTTGAGTTCCACCTAGAATCACCTGAGCAAAGAAACATTGATAAACTGATCAAAATATTGACATGTTGCAGTACTTTGACATTGTGCAATGCAGAAAACAGGCTGTTCTTGTCGAAGTCACATATGCTGGGCCCAGAATCTTAGCTGATCTCACCGTTGCCAAAGCCTGATGTCGCCACAAGTCCAAGTCCAAAACAAAGTCGACTAGTAACAAGTGCATCGCTGTTAGTAGCAAGGACGCTACTAGTAACAAGGGTATTACTACTACTAGTAGCTTCTTGCTACTACTAGTGGTGCCCTTGCCACTAGTAGCGATGCCCTTGTTACTACTAGTGATGCCCTGGGAAAATGAAAAGGAAATTAGGAAGAATACTGTAATATGAAGGTGAGGGCCTCTTTAAAGGAGACTTACAGTATTTAAAGGGACCCTTACCTTCTAATTTCCTTTACTGTTGTGTTCCCTTGTCTATCATATATATTAAGGTATAATAAGGTCGTGGATGTTGGGTTCAACGTGACAAGGACATCCGGCCTCCGCGAAGGAATGGTTGCTGACCTGAGTGGCGGAGCAAGAGTTGCGTAGTGTGAAAGGGTTGAAATGCGCAGAATTGCAAAGAAAGGCCTCCCTGGATGGCATGCAGTTTCAACAAGAATCTGCAAGAATTTGAAAGGGTCTGTTGCGACAAGAACGTCATGGTGACGAGAATTGCAGCATCCAAGGTGCCATCACATCTCGGAGCAACCTCAGTTGACTTCCAGCGGCGGAGCCTTCAAACCTCCGGTGACACCTTTTTGGCGCTTTCGCTTCAGGATGAACTTCACGCTACTAGGGGCTCCTGGCCTTACTACTTGGAACAAGGACACTACTAGGGGCTCCTGGCATCGCTACTAGGACCAAGGACACTACTAGGGGCTCCTGGCCTTACTACTAGGAACAAGGACGCTACTTGGGGCTCTCGTCCTTCCACATTATACTGAACCTACTAGCGATGGTTTCAGGAAGAACATCATACTTCTATATGCTTCCATACACTTCCATATTCCAAAAATATGGTCCTTAGTATCAGGCCATGCGCACCCAGAACTGAGGCATCAACAAGGACAAGAAATTGCCACTTCCTTTGCCTTCCAAGAAGGCTCTTAGCGCAGCCCAATCAGACTTGTCATACCTGTCCACTGCCACTGCGAATCCTACTTAGTAAAAACATCTCTGAGATTCTCTCATTTCTTGCTGTCCAATACGGGCACAAACAATGCTGCCTGGTGTTCACGCTGACCGAGAATGCACTGTGCTTCACTGCTGTCAGAGTGCCTACATAACCTGAAACGGTCACACCAAAACGCACTGGCTAAGGGTGAACTTGTCGGGCAGGGGCCATAAGTTACTGTAAGTTTCCCTGAAGTAATACAAGTCATTAGTGCGAGCGCTTCTCTATCCGTCCTGTTCCTAGGAGCGAACTTCTTCGAGTAGCTTCCTTCCTTAATTACTCGATTAAGTAGGCACCTACTCAATTCAGTAAGGGCAGGCTTAAAAGGATATAAGAACTCTGACATATCATCCAAGCAACCCAAAAAGACCGTGGAGTTGTAGACGGTGTGATTGTCTCGCACGAAGCGAACATTCCGCAAGAGCGGCCGCAAATCCTGCGAGGCCGATCGGCTCCTTTCGTTGCAAAATTGAAACAAAATGTTTGTCCAAGCAGTAACAAGTGCATCGCTAGTAGTAACAAGTGCCTTACTAGTAGTAGCAAGAAGCTACTAGGAACAATAAACCAATAGCAGGTAAGCAGGTGTCAGAACAAGCAGAGTCGGCACAGTGCGATTCCTCTGTGAGCGTCCACTGAAGGTGCTTCCAATCCTCGCCTCAACTTGAAGGAAAAGCCAAGCACTTGATGTGAAGTGCCCCCGCCAGGTGCCCCCCAAAGCATACTTGCTCTCAAACATCACGAGACCGAGATACCAAGGAATAGACCGAAGTCCAGATTCCTGAGATAAACTTGTGAGTCAAATCTGTTGAGTCAAATACAAAAGCCAAGTCTTTCAGGGGCAGACCTACCATGAATAAGATGGCCGTGGTCATCTTGCGCAACGATAGAGGTGCAACCACCTTCCAACTCGTACCTTGGCACACCAAGGCTCAGTCTTGAAAGATCGGAGGGTTCAGTCTACTGGCGATGCCCTTTGCTCCTAGTTGCGTCCTTGTTCCTAGTAGAAAGGCCAGGAGCCCCTAGTAGCGGCCTTGCTCCTAGTAGCGATGCCCTTTGCTCCTAGTAGCTTCTTGTCTACTTGAAAAGACCTTGAAGGAATCAATAGATGTTGCCAAATGTTGTGAAGAACATGAGAAAGTAAAAAGAGACAGCAGTCAACACCATGGCACGCGATGTTGTAGACCAGCATGTCCACCACTCGAATGCCTCCCGTTTGCGAAAAGGCATGGGCATGGCACACCTCCCGTTTGCTCCTCTTGCCAAACCCTGCGGAGTTCCACAGTCTCAACAGGAGCCTGTGGCATTTGCAATGCCACGAATCTCGAGGCCGTACTCACCTCAATGCCACGAAATCTGTTAGAATTCAAGGCTCCAGGAATCTGCTCACAGGTACTCATCCAACGAACATGAAGCAATATACAATCAATACGAGTCCTTGCTGTCAGAACAAGTTTTGCAGACACAAAGCCCATGTCTTCAAGCACTCGATCACACATCTCCTGCACCTTGGAGAGATCCTGGAGCTGCACAAAGCTGGAAGGTCTTGGAAACTCGCTCGAAAGTTTCGAAAGGACTTGTTTTTAGATGATCCCTTTAGTATCGAAGCCACTCCTCGAGTAGCTTGAAAATGTCTTGAGAGATCCGACCTTCGACGGACAAGGAGCCCCGTTCGTAGCGTCCGATCGCTCCTAGTAGCGATGCCCTTTGCTCCTAGTAGCGTTCTTGTTCCTAGTAGTAAGGCCAGGAGCCCCTAGTAGCGTCCCTTGGAAAAAGAATAGATTCGTTCTTGGAGTGCACATGAATTGGGATCAAAAATACATATACAAACATCTGTTCCAAGCGGCCTAGCAAGGCCTTGAAGTGTGTGACCATTGTCCTGAGAACAAAGATGACACAAAACACTCTCTGTGTGTTTTCCTTGTTTCTCCTGTATTTTTTCCCCTAGGTACATGCTGAACACCTTTGATCTTTCTAGTGGAAGCTAACTGCTACATCATAGGACAGGGTAGGGCAATGCGCCCATCGAATTCCATAAAGCACCGACACACACCTAGACTATCCCACACTCCTTATCGCTGGGGCGGCTGGTGTCACCAGTCTTCGCCAGCGCTCAGCTGGCGGAAGATTCAGATCCACCACCTCTTTGGGCGCCGTGAAAAGAGGGAATGGCATTCTCAACTGCACGGCACAATGAAGATTGATTTTATTGACCTCCAGTTGATTTGCATCTGGAAGTTCTGCAAGTCCAAAATGCTAACTACGTTCGACCGCGCCTCCCAACCAGGCACTTGGTCGCTCGGATCCCCCTGAGAACATCACACATCAGAAATGGACATATTGCCAAGCTGATAAATAAACACCATTTTGCCCAATAAGCAGCCTTGAAGTGATCATAATCTGGGTCATGCTTGGGATTGATGTGGCAGCAGTTTGCTTCCTCCGTCGCTCCAAAGGTTGCATCGTGTGGAAGCACTGCAAGCTGGAAACTTGTGCCTAACACGCTCAAATGCAGCCACGCATCAAATGGAATGCACACCTTAGAATGTGCAAGCTCCCATGTTTTGCAAATAATTTGGAGCTGCCAAATCATTTCCCATACGTTACTGTAGGGCTTTGAAAAAATGCAACCAAAGCCGATCATAATGAATCTGCTTCATTCCAGGCCGCTGCTCCAGCTGCAGGCAGCAAAAGCAAGAGTCTTAACGCTGCCATGTTCCAACAACAAATGTTGCTCAGTGCAAGCAAGCTGTGTAGCATGTTAGGCATAGACATGTCACATGTCACAAGAGCAGTGAATTATCTTGAGCCAGTCGACAGAGGCAGCTGTGAATTGCTAGCATACAAATCTTGGTAGTGACACATCAAATGTCCTCTTTGAGCTGCAGCTGGCCTTGGAGTCATCAGCTCGCTTGTACTTTTCCAGAGTGAGCTCGTCCTTTGTCATGTTAATTTTGCAAAGGACAAGAAAGGTGATGCAGTAATGACGGCTCCCTTGATCTTTACAACGGTTTTCCCCTTCTACCCGCAACCCAGGAGTCCTCCTCTTTCTGCCTGGCAGCAATCGCCCACTGCTCCAGCTCTTCCTGGTTCCAGTTCATCTCCAACTTGAACCTGCGAATGCAACGCTATTAGGTTGGAGGCCATCGCTATTGGTAACTCAGAAGAAGATTGTGTTGTTTCGTTCGGCTTAGTGAGTTGCCACAAATGCCAAGCTCTGAGAATCGACGCTGCGCACTTCGTGCCGATCGCTTCGCGAAGCTCGGGGCGCACTGGTCCAACTTCTCATTGCCTCTCATCAGCTCGTTGGAAAAGGCGTTAATTTGATCCTGGCAGAACGGACCAATCCAATCCCCCACACGAATACAAATATACTAGTTGAAGAGTCGAGCCAATAAGGGCATGTCAAGGAGCATCTCCAGCATCTGGGAAAAATGACATTGCTCCTGGGTGTCTTCCAGGACTTTCTGCAATCTCACTATCTCGGACTTCAATCGGCCAAGCTGCCTGGACAACAATCCAAAATGTCAGTCCAACTCGTCGCTTTCATGCAGCTTTAGGGCAATGCAGACAGGATCGGTACTACTACTACAACAACGACAACGACAACGACAACAAGCCAGCAAGTTGGCCTGAAGGGCATGGGCCCTGACTTGCTTTCTTGATGACATAATTATAATACGCTCCATGTGCAATGCTATCTGATAGAATCGATGTTCACATTGTTCAGATTTACTGCAAAAGCTCTGGAAGCTCATTGACAGTGTGCATAATTCCACGTGTGATTCAGGTCCGATGGTCACGAATCTTTTCTCAACAAGGAGCCTTTGGGGACACTGAATCACATTCAGGTCCAGTCAAATTGAGACTGCCAAGTTAGTTGCCAATGTGGCGGGGTTCATTGTTGCGGTTTCTATGTGTTGTAGCTGGCCCCATTAAGTGAGAGACGAGGTTTGCGCAGAAACCACCAAAAATCACAAGCGAGTTGCACTTCCAGGAAACTCTGTTGCAAACTTCTTAATTTGACCTGGACAAAAGCGCCCCACGTGCAATTTGAAGAAGGCCTCTTGACTCCCCAGTTTGATGTCACTTAACCCTCCAGAAGGTTTCTTGGCCTGAACAGGTCACTGGGAGCTTTGCTTCAAATTGACTTTAAGGGTTTCTTACGCCTTACGCAAACTGAACGATCGATGTCCTCAAATGCAGCTCGGTTGCCGATTTGTGAGGGCCTGGCCACCAGAATGCTCCAATGTCAACAAAAATACTGGCTGTCGCGCCTGCAAGTGCTCCTCCGTCGTGGTCTCGTTCTTTTTGGCATCCACAAGTTGCTGCGTATTGACAAGCTCCTCGAGTTGTTCAACTAAGCGGGTCAAGATGGTCTCTGAGAGCAAACAGTCTAGAAAGGGTGGTACAAACAAACATTGCAAAGAACAAGCTATGGCATTGGAGGAGTCATGGTAAGACCAGCTTCCCGAGCGCCTGCTGGACGTTGACCAAATGGTCAGTCATGATCTTCACCCGAGCACCATCTCTTTCAAGCTGCTCCTGCCGGAACAAAAAACAAATGTGAGATTCGAGCTAAAAGAAATCGACGAGAAGTGCAGATTCAAGCGTAGAGCCGAGCTGCAAGCAGCAAGTGAGAACCGGAAAACACACAATGAAAGCGGTCCTCAATGGACTCGACTTGTGCTTGCTTCTGCTTTATCTGCGCAAACTGGTAAGTCTCTGGAGTTGGGCAGGTAAACAAAAAAATCTGCGATGGGCTAGTCTGGCAAAGTGTGCAAAAACCAGGAAGCACTCCAGGAGTACAAACAACATCCGATGCAGAACACCCACAACCGCCTCCGCATCAAGCTTCTTGTTTTCCTGATCAATAATGATGTTAAAGGTGCAAACACCACTTCTCTTAAGGCCATTATCTTCACAAGAAGTGCCTCTCGCTAGATGCTATGTTTGCAAAGCAAACACTGGTAACGCTCAGAGAACAAGTCCTTCTGGAGATGTGCCAGATGTCTCCGGGATGGTTACTTTCTCTCATGACTATATAAGTTATAAGATCTTTGGTTAGGGCCCCTGTGCAAAAATACGTGTGTTCAATCTTCAATCGTATATTCCTACAAAATCAAGCATCTTCGCCTCTGAAGCATAGGGAGGTAGGGAATCACCAATGTCCAAGTTTTCATCCTCAGAAGAATGCATAACAAAAAGCATTTGTGTTCTGTCGCATTGATCTTTCTGGCCTGTTCTCGTCTCAAACAATGTAAAAATGAACGCCACAAACACGCAGAGTTTATCGATTTCATCTCTGTTCTTTGCAACAGGCAAGCTTGGGGCATCACAGCCATTGAGCCTGACATGTTCGAAGTCCGGCGTCACGGTATGTCATGAAGCAATTTTACATTCTTTCTCAGCCAACGCCTCAAGATCACACCAAAAACTAGGAGTTGGCCATGTTATCTTGCATACTCGAGCCATACAGCAATGATCACCTTTCTTCTCAAGGGTGTGCCCAGAGAAATGAGCCGGAGGCAGCAGACTGTCAAAATCCACTTTCATTTATCGTCTAGGATATCACGCGTATCACAATCATCATCATTCATAATTATCATAAGATTTGTAACAGCATCCTCGAATCCTCATAATAAAACAATTCATCCGTTTCATCCACTCTATTCCCCAAACAGTAGTCACACCGGCGCCCTGGTTTCCTTTCTCACTCCCGGGGCAGCAGTGGGAGTGGTAGGAGGAGCGGAGACGTTGTCAATCTGCAACTGAAGCACCTGGAATGGGCAAGCAAGTGCCTCTCACCAGTCGGGGTCGGTGGGCGGATGTTTTTCAAACATTTTTTGTAAACCATTAGTGCACTGACTGATTCAGGATAAAACCATCGTCATTGGATTGTGAGATGCACTGCGCGCATTTGCCTTGCTGTTGATGCGCCGCGATGCTGTGCTGTGTTTATGGTTGTGTTTCATGCGTTTGGCAGTGGCTGCTATTTGGCGCAATGTCTGGTGGCACGTACAGGCTAAGACTAAGAAACGACTCTTGGGGTAAAAAAAACCTCTAGGAAAACAAACACTGCACGTGCGTCTGCATCTCACAACGCTTGGAGAATCATCGAAGGAGCTGCTGTATGGCCGATGGTTGAGTGGGAAATTGTGCGCGTTTCGAGGTTGTTGCTGAAGATGTTGAAGGCGTGCGTCAAGCGTGTCATGTGGCTCCCAACGGTGATGTGTTGCGGCTTGCCGCCTCAAACCTGACAGACACAGCTGGTGGGAATGATAGCATGATTTCTTTGTATAGAAAATCCGGGATCTAAATGACTGGGAATGGCGGACATCTGAGCTGCCCCTGCACGCAACGTTTGCACCACTGGGCTGGTGAATGCTGTCTTGCATACGTTGGGGGAGTTTATATATCGTGGCACGCTGTCGCTCTGTGGGAAGAAATGGGAAAGACCTGCAAGATGGAAAGGAAAAAACTCACATCTGCTTGTCAATACAGCCCAGCACTGCAAACAAAGAGGTGCACTAAACGTGTCGTTGGCACAGAAACAGGTTTTCGGGTCCGACAGCCGGCAAAGGCTGGAAGAGCCAATGTAGTGCACCTCGGCAGGTGGCGGTTCTATTAGCCCTGTTTGGCATTGGCGTGATGCCTTTCCCTGTTTGTTGTCTGCTGTCGCGCTTGTCCTGGCACGTTGTCAACTATCATGTCTCGGCATTGCACTGATGTGTGTATGTGAAGCTCTTGGAGTCAGAGGGCTTCCGTTGAAGCTTTTGTTAGAAGGCTTTTACTTTTAGCAGGAAGAACGTGGCCATCACGCAAACGCATGCCGACGAAGCTATGCGTGATGGTGGAATCCAGGTCTGATCAACCTGGTGTACCTGCAAGTGATGATCTTGATAGCTACATCCCACTCTACTTTCAGGCTGCTTAGTTGGAGGTAGGTCGGCACACTCTGCACGTTACGTCGTCCTTGTCGATCGCTCGATTCTCGCTTTGGCATTTGGGGTTTCCAGGAATTTCCTTGAAGGTTTGTGGAGAGCTTATGCTCACTTACCCCCCTGGCTTCCTTAGGTTTTTTACTTAGGCTGGCAAGCGGCAAACCGCAATCGAGTCAGTACGCAATATCTCGAGCGTGTCTGGCTCCATACCAGCCCAGAATGTACCCGAGGAGCGTCCCCTGTGGCCCCGTCGAACGGAGGTTTGTCCAACGTATCCACAGTCCAGTCGACGGAGTAGGCTTGTGCAAGACTTGCTGAAGTATTGAATGTAAGTAGGCAGTCTTCGGACACGCCATGAGGTGACCGCAGCGGTCAGGAGTAGGCAGCCTTCGGGCAAGCCATAACGCGGTCGCAGCGACCGAAGCATGCTCAAGGTCCATTGGGGCCTGTGGGAGCCTTAGTGTGCACATACAACACTTACATTTAAACTAGGCTTGGCCTCCTAGGTTCTTTAATGAGGTTTGGTCTCGCTGGTTCCCGACCCCTCCATTTGGTTCTTGGTTCCCTTTTCATCCTTCCCCCTTTACACACACTTTCTTTCCGCCTTCTGTTTCATGTTTTTCTCGGCTTCACGTCCTGTCATCTCACTCTTTTCTTTCTCTTGCGCACACATCGGTCCGGCCCTTATGTTAGGCAGCGCACTTTTCGAGCCGAGGGCTACGCGCGGTGAGTAGTTTTCAACTAGCAAACATTCGTCCGGGTACATTTGTTGCAGAAAAGTATCCATCAGCTGCATCAAGATCTTCTCTCACCTGTTCATCCATTGCGGTC